ACAAATCCCCAGCCAGCCGGCGTCACGAGCCCCGGTGTTTCTTCTTTAGTAGTCCCACGGCTCTCAGCCTTGAACCTCGCAGCTGGCAGGTGTCTGACTTCCAGGCTGTACATGGTGCCGCGATGGCTCTGCCTGCTGGCCTGGACTTGCCTGTCTTGGTATGGCCAGTCCCTAGTGGCATGGGCCCAGCAAGGCATCCACCCTCTGGCCTCGCCATTAAAGTGACATGTCTAGCCTTCCTGATCTCCCGTCTCCAGGTCAGCCTGCTTCTCCTGGACACAGCTGAGTCTTTGATGTGGGTCAGGCCACAGGGCTCATGCCTGGTTGTGTTTGGCTCCTTGGGCCTAGCTTTGCTGGAGGCGGGCCCTGTGGGCAGGTTTGTAGGTGTTTAATTTTTCTTTTCAGGGTGGTAGTAATAGGGTAGGGTAGCAGTCCCTGGGTGGTGTAGATGGTGAATGTACTTGGCCGCTAACCGCAAGGTTAGAGGCTGGAGTCCACCCAGAAGTGCCTTGGAAGAAAGTCCTAGCAATCTTCTTTTGGAACATCAGCTACTGGAACCCCGGGGAGCTCAGTTCTCCTCTGACACGCATGGGGGGTTTGAGTCGGCATCGACTCTGTGACATCTGTGATGGGGCAGAGGGCAAAGCACCACTCAGAAGAGTGTCTCAGAGTGGCCGAGGAGGAGGCTGGGAAGCCACTTCCTTCTGGAAGGTGCTGTGTTGCAGCCCCTCTATCGAGTAGCTCCACGTCCAGCTGGAAGCTTCCTCTCTTCCTCCTCTTGAACCATCAAGCTGCTGGGCTGGATGTATTTTCTCAGATCATCTCAGGACTTTTCCTTCATCTCTTGTCCCCAACCAGACCATATACCCTCAAGGGGCCACGTGTGTGGTCTTCCCCTGTGCTCCTTAACGGCAGCTTGTTTCACATCTTAACGACAGTCCCTCATGCTGGCATCTGGAAAGTGAGACCCGAATTTGTCCCTCTGGGCCCCTGGGAGATTCCGTGGCATTAAACTCCCAAGTTATGGTGGCTTCTGCTGCCCGAATGGTCATCTGGGGTGGCTGCTGGTGACCAGCCCTGATGGCCCCAGCAGGAACCGTGGCCGAGCCTCCGTGTTCCTGTGGAGAGCCCTCCTGAAGTCCCCTGTGTAGGACAGCTTTTCATTGTGGCTGTGCAGCAAAGCCAGAGGTGCGCCTCATCCAGCCTCAGCGTCAGGCTGCTCTGTGCGTTCTGGGTCATCACTGAAGGACCGATGCATCCTCGCAGCGGCACATGCTGTTACTGCGGCCAGATGTTGATTTAGAGCCAGACTCCAGCAGGGAGGGCAGGGTTCTGTGGCTGGAGGAGCCTGAAGGGCCTGTCCAGGCGGCCCCTCCCTGAAGGCTCTTCTTCACAGCTTCCTCTCACAGGCCTAAGCACACCACCTGTGCCTGCTTCACTGTGGGAGACCTTAGGTTTCTGGAAGGTTCTTCATCACCCCAAGCTAAGCCTCTTTCCTGTCCCCGTAACTGCTCTGACTGCCCTCGGAAGTCCAGGGTCTGCTCTCCCAGGTTCCCAAAATTGCTTTTCCTACTTCTGTTTATCCCACCTTCTCTAGCTGCTTCTTCTATTAGTGCAGTCTGGTTTCCAGGGCCTCTGTACCCTCCCACCTGCTCAGAGCAAAGTTGAGGAGGGTCCTTCACAGACCCTCTGTGGCAGGTCTGGCTGGCATGCTTCTGAAGATGCAGGGAGGAAGGTGCTGCTGGTGCCCAGTACTGGGTGGGTTTGGAAGTCTCTAGAAGGCTGAGGTGTGGCCAGGCTTGGGGGAAGCAGAAGGCAGAGCAGGCAGCATGGGGACGAATGTCTGAGCCTCTGTGCGGTGTGATGTGAGGGGAAGCCATTTTGCCGAGGACCAGGGAGAGGTGGAGGGCGGAGTTGGGTGGTTCTGAGTGGAGGTAAGGGGTGAGGTGCAGGCCAGGGTGGGACACACAAAAACAAGAGGATAAAGCTACCTGTCATGTTTCGAGTGAGGCTGCAGGGTCACAGGCTAGCAGTGAGCTTGCTTTTAATTGGGAATTTTGACCTTGTGATGGACACTGACTCCCAGGGAGAAAAATACACTGCCTCCCCGTGGTGTTGACCAGTAGAACCGACTCTTTTCCAGCCAAGACATCATTTATAATAGCCAGACTGACCCTTCCTGCCTTGAGGCTCAGCGAACACACGTTTGAGCCCACAGAGTGCCCTCCTTCCTTCCTTTCCTTCCTCGGTCCCTGTCTCTGGTGCCCCTCTCTTTCCCCTCCTTCCTCCCTTCTCTCTGTCTTTGTGTTTCTTCCCTCCCTCCCTCCCTTCCCTCACACCATCCATACTTGCTTGCTTGCTTCCTGGCTTTCTTTCTCCTCCCTCCGTCCTGTTCTGTCCCCTCTCTCCCTCTTGTCTGTCCCCCAGATCCAACCCCAGGAGTTACTAGACAGCATCAACTGGAAACCCTAAGTGTTGTCGTGCCTGGCCTGCTGACGTGAGGCTGGGTGGGGCATTGGCAGGGATGACATGTGCCAGCTCGGCTCAGGGGCCCAGGGACTGAGAATTCTTGGCGAGCACTGGCCTTGCATCTTCCCTGCACCCATGGCTGCATCACCTGTCCTGAATCCTCCTTGTCAAGAGCAGCAGCTCTGGCAGTTGTCCAGCGTAAGCTGTCTGCTCCCCTAGGCCACCCAAGCACCTGGCGTGGTGCTCCCCGGCCTCTGAACCCCACTCTTCTGCAGTCTCCTGGGTGACCCTAGCTCCTGCATAGACGAGTGTCTGCACTCGCCCTCCTCGGTGGTAGCTGTGCCCAGCTCTGCCAGCCTTCCCTAGAAGACTGACAGTTTCAGTCTGCCTGGGCTTTAGGGGTGGGCCAAGGTGGGCCAGTTGAAGTTGGGGCTTCTTGGTGCCCCTGAGGCTGCCATTGGGTTGTTCCAATTTGCAGGTCTAAGTGGCAGGAGAAACTGTTTCCAGCTGGTGCTCGCCCTCAACTGACTCCCCGAACCTAGTCCGCTGTGCACATCCGGCTTCTGTCCAGAAGTTCCCTCTAATCTCCCCTGGGGCTGCGTGAGCTCGGCCCAGCGCCCTGCAGCCTGCCACTTCCGATAACAGAGGAGCTGCGTTTCAATGTATTAAACTTTTAACATCCACCAGATTCAATTAATCTTATCTTTACAACTCCCAATTACAGGCAGTAATTAAGTGAGAGCCAGCATTGTGGACCGGGGATATTGCATTAATCATCACAGCCTTGCAGCCATAAATTAGTGCTTTCCAGTCCTCCAGCACCTTCCCAGAAGGGCTGGAAAGTTCCACAGCCCTATTTGTAGGGATGCTATTTCCACAAAGGGGCTGGGGACTGAGATTCATCCTGGTCATCTTTATGTAAAGGAGAAAAGGCCATTTAAAGAAGACCCTCAACTTCACCCTGGTGATGGCAGACTAGAAGGGGTCTGTGCCACAGTGGGGCCCCTGGGAACGGACCCGGAAATGGATTATTTTCGTCCTGTTGCATTAGGGACGACATGTCATCTTCCTTATCTCCTCCCCTGGTCTCTTTTTCTTTTATTAAAAAACATTGCCAACCTCTGGTTGCATTGGCATAGCCAGCCGCTGAGCCTGGGTGGTCTTTCATCTTTTGAGTTTTTCTCTGGTCTGAAGGTGGGAGGCAGTGGCTGTGTAATCCGCCACCTGACTTGACTCACTCTCAAATGCCAGAGTGGCCCTTGTTAATCCAGCGCAGGGCTTCCTCTCTCCCAGTCCTGCCCCAGTGCTGCTAGGGGTCTGGCTCCTTCTGTGGGAGGGGCCATCCTGTGCACTGTAGGGTGTTGAGCAGCATCCCTGGTCTCCACCCACTCCGTGCCAGTCACATCCCCCCCTCACCCCAATTCCTGACAGCCCAAAGGTCCTGGGGTAGGGATTCCACTGACTTCCAAGAGATTCCGCGTCCCTTAATCCTCTGACCTCCTGACGTCCCAGGACGCTGCTCACATTTAAATCCACAGACTGAGTGGGGAGGAGAGAGGAGGGAAGTCACAGGAGCTGGAGGGGCCCCTGGTTTGTACCATCTGGCTCCTTGGGTTTATTGTGGTGTACTGTGTGAGCAGGGAGCAAACTCATTTTTTCCAAATAATTAACAGAGGGTCCCTCCTCTTGGGCACTGCTGACACGGGGGCCTGATCGTTTTCTGAGGTGGGCTGTCCTGTGCACTGTAGGTGGGCAGCATCCCTGGTCTCCACCCCCTCATTGCCAGTAGCACACCCCCCTAGTTCTGACAGCCACAGGGGTCCTCAGACATTACCGTGAGCCCTGGGGGCAGAATGACCCAGGTGAGGGCCCTCTTCTCGAGTGTGTCTTGGGTGTTGGAGCTACAGCACCGCTCCTTCTCAGTGGGGGCCGGCCTTCAGGCTGCTGCTGCTGATGGCTTGGGGTCAGGCTTCCCTCCTAGGACCTGCGGCCCCGTTGAGGGGCTCGTACTCACAGTCTCGCTGCATCGTCTGCTTCCAAACTTACGCCTCACGTGTTTGTTCACAGCAGAGCCTCGGTAATCTCTCAAAGGCAGAATGGGCGAAGCTGAAGCAGTGGCAGCAAACGAAAGCTCTCATTCCCGAAGCTGCTTTCCCTGCTGGTTGCCGGGGGTGGGGGGTGGGCAGAGTGGGCTCTGAAGTGGGGCTGACAGTGGGGGAGGAGGCTGTGGTTCTGCTCTGTTCTAGACGGGGGTCTGTGCACCTTAAACCCCCCAACCCCAATTCCAGTCCAGGGTTTTTCCTTTTTTTGCCTCATTGAGGCTCAGTGGCTTTGAACTGGCGACTCTCCACTGGTGGCCCCTGAGATGCTGGCCTTTTTGCCTGCCTTTTGTTACCTCCCCTGATGCCCCTCCCCTCACTTCTTTGGGGAATCTTTCCCTAACAGCCCCACCCCCAGCACTTCTTGGGGTCACATGTGGAGGGCTGTGGTGGCCGGCCATGCTCTGACGTGCTTCCTTCTCTCTCTGGCAGGTACGCCATCCCGCCGGAGCACGGCAAGCGCCTGGAGCGGCTGGCCATCGGTAGGTGAGACCCCATACCCATGCACTGTGGGCTGGTGGGCTTGACTGTGGCCCTGAATGGGGCTGGTCCACTCCGGGTGGTACTAGCCAGCCTCTCCAGGGCCTTTATGTTTTGGGATTTTGTGTTTCAGGACGGGGATGTGCTCACAGATGTCACTGTCCTGTCCTTCTGCTTCCTTTTACCCCTATGACCTAGCCCAACGTCTTGTCCTTCCCTGAGTCCCCATGGGAGCCTCAGCTGGAGTGTCCTTGATACCCCACTCCCCGAAGTGACTCAGAGCTAGGACCTGACCCCAGCTCCTGGAGGGCAAAGTGGCTGCCTTCTCTGTGTCCCTCCTGATTCCCGCCACCACATTGTGCCCTTTCCCAATTCCCAGAAGTCTTTGTCTAGTCAAGAGCACAGGCAGATTGAGTTACAGCCCCTTTGCCTGGGCCAACAATCTGGCAGAGGAACCCGCTGGGCCCTTTGTTCTGTGTTCTCAGGAAATGGCTCCCTCAGGCCCCTCAGCAGAGAGGTGACCGTGAGAAGAGGGTGCAGACCACCCGGGTTAGTCAGGGCAGGGCTTCAGCAGGTAGGAGACTTGGCAACACAGAACATGCCGAAAGTGGAGTGTCCTGAGTGATTAGGAGTGGGAGACAGCAGGTTTCCCACATCAGCTCTCCCCTTGTGGTGTCCTGTTCTTGTCCCAGCAGGAGCTCAGCACTGTGTAGTCAGACGGCTTAGGAGGGGCTGAGGAGCATTTAAAGACCTGGCTGGCCATGAGCCTCCTGTCCTTCCTGTCAGCTCAAAAGAACTGCTCCTCAGGTGCATGGCAGGATGAGGGAGGCCAGTCCCTGTGGTTCCCAAAGCCTCTCTGAGTCCACACAGGCCCCTCCCTGCAGTCCTATCAGCAGCTGGAGATGGGGCCGAGGAGGCAGCCTGGCATCCAAGGTACACTCTTCCAGAAACCTCCGCTCAGTGTTGGCCCAGGCTTTCCTGCCATCTCTTGGGCCCCAGTCTCACCCTGTCCTCACATCCACCCACAGCAATCCCTCCACCTGCTCTCTTCTTCTTCTTCTTTTTTTTTAAATTGTGATTTGGGTGAAAGTTTACAGAGTAAATTTACTTTCCATACAGCAGTTCACATATACTTTGTCTCATGACATTGACTACAATTTACCCCAATGCACCAGCTCCCCTCCCACTTCCTCCCCATAGTTACTTCTTCCCTGGGTCCATTCCTCCATACACTCCTGCCCCCTGAGCTGTCTCCCTGTGCACAAACAGCCCTTCTTTCTCCCATGATTGTTCTCTCCAAGGCGTGTATCTACCTCAGTTACATGTTCAGCTCTTACACCTGTTTTTTATTTGGCTGGAAGCCACAGGTGTGGGTTCAATTCCAGACCTGAAGGACAGCTAGGGACCATAGTCTCAGAGGTTCCACCAGGCTCTATCAGACAAGCAAACCTGGTTCCCCCCCCCCCCTTTTTTTTTCTTTTTCCAAATGATTTTGAGTTTTGTTCCACATTATTACACCTCTCTATCCAGGATCTCCTACATAGATCCCCTCCGAGTGGTTGACAGTGGTAGCCAGGCACCATCTAGTTCTTCTGGTCTCGTAGTCATATAGGCTGAGGATTGCATGGTGTGTACCACTTGTGAGGACTAATTGTTTCTGTGAATCTTTGGTTTTCTTCATTCTTCTTTGCTCTGGATGAGGAGAGACTCATTGTTGGATCTAGATGGAGCTTGCAGGCTTCTAAGATCCCAGTCGCTACTCGCCAAAGTAGGAGGTAGAACAGTGTTTTGTGTAGTATGTTATGCCAGTTGAGCTTGATGTCCCCTGCGACTATGGTCCCGTCCACCTGCTCTTTTCTTGCCTCCTCAGGGGCTTTTCGACTTTGGAGATGGGAATAATCAGTCTTTCAGGGACAGGGTCTCCTGTCACAGTACTGCCCAGAGAGTCACAGCCTGTGAACATATTTATTAGGCATGAGTGACATGGATTTTATGGGAACGAGAGGGGTGATGTGCCAGTGGCCAGTGACACAGGGCTCGTTCCCAGCCCACATGTGTGGGTTCTCAGTAAAGGCTCTGCTGCTGATTTTTGTTGTTACTTGTTACTTTTCATTGGAAACCTAGTCCTTGTTTGTATGGAAGGGACAGATCCTGGCATCAAGGGGACACCCCTCCACAGTAAGAAATTCAACAATTACAGATGGCCTGATAGCAAAGTTGCATTACTTATTAAAACTCTAATATAAAAAGAATGTTGGAGAAGAGTGCTGAGAGTACCATGGACTGCTAAAAGGACTAACAGGTCTGTCCTGGAAGAAGTACAGCCAGAATGCTCCTTAGAAGCGAGAATGGCCAGACTTCGTCTCACCTACTTTGGTCACGTTATCAGAAGGAACCATTCCCTGGAGAAGAATGGCATGCTTGGTAGAGTGGAGGGTCAACGAAGAAGGTGGAGGCCCTCAATGAGATGACTGACACAGTGGCCGCAACGATGGGCTCAGGTGTAGCAGGGATCGTGGGGCTGGCACAGGACTGGGCAGTGTTTTGTTCTGCTGTGCACAGGGTCGCTATGAGTTGGAGATGAGCTGATGGCACCTGACAACAACAACAACAACAACAATATAAAAACCACATTTCCACTGATTTGGGGGGGGGGGAAGGAAAACCTGATGATCTTAGTTTCCTGTTATAATAACATACCGCCGTCGTGGTGGCTGTGGGCGGTGCACGTCAGGCTCTTACATTACGTGGTCACACGTCTGCATCAGGTCTGAAGGGATTCACGTCCAGGTAGCAGCAGGGCCGGTTCCTTCTGGAGGCTGAGGGGAGAATCCAGCGGAGTCTATCCCTTGCCTTTTCTACTTCTAGTGGCTTCTGGCATGCGTTGGCTCCTGGCCACATCACTCCAGTCTCTTCCTCTGTGGCCTGTGCTCTGCTGTATCCCATCTCCCTAAATCTTCTTCCGTCTCTCTCTGTGCTGACACTGGGCTGCCAGGATAGTCCGCCCAGCTCGGGATCCTTACTCTCATCATATCTGCAAAAGCCCTGTTGTTGTGGAAGGCACCTGGTCACAGGTTCTGAATGTTACTGGACGTCTTAGAAATTGTCATTGAGTCAACCCTGACTCACGGCGCCCCCCTGTGTGTCAGAGCAGAACTGTGCCCCACGGGATTTCCATGGCTGAGTTTTCAGAAGCAGGTCACCAGGCCTTTCTTCCAAGGTACTCTGGCTGATCTTGAACCTCCAGCCTTTCTGTTAGCAGCCGAGCAGTTCACCATTTGCACCACCCAGGGACTTCGCATGCAAAACAGAGACTCATTAAGTCATACCTCGGTCAGGTAGAATGACTTCCCAGAATTCTGGCTCGCCTGCTGCCACCAGAGGTAGGACAGGAAATGCTAGCAGGAGGTGCACATGCGGGTGGCCAATGGGAAGCTGGGCCACCACCTCCCCTGCAGCCTCTCATCTGGGCCCTGCTCTCGCCTCGAGGCTGCAGATCCTCAGAAGACAGGCTTGGGGGAGGGGGCAGTCTAGGGACAGTGAGTCAATGCCAATCTAGGGTCCCTTTCAGACTTTTCTGGGGACTGCGTCAAGAGCACCGTTATCGAGATGGCGGAATGCGTTTGCGATTAATATGGAAAATGAATAGCTGCACTCTAAATGGACTCGCGGGGAGAGTTGTGGAGCCCACGGAGAGCGCATTAACGTGCTGGCGCGCTATTGGTGCTAATCACTTAAAATGTGCGCCTTTATTAGAGCTTTAATGAGAGCCACTTAAACTGTGCATTAAAAAGAAGAACTGCAGAGAGGCCGGCGGGCCGGGTGGCAGGCACTCGTAATTCTAATTGAAATGCTTTTAGTGCAGAGAAAAGTTGTTGGATCCAGTCGTCTCTCACACTTTCCAGAACCACTGTCGTGTCCTTGCAGTCAGGCGCCTCTGCAGCCTGGGAAGCGTCTGAGTCCCCGTTCTTTGCCCATGTCCCCGTGTATGCATGTGGCTGTGTGCTGCACACGCCCCTACACATGTGCCCTCACTCTCTCTCCTACGTCAGTTTGGGCTTAACCAGCATCTCATAGAGCATGTGCACTGGCCTCGAGACTGGGGACCTAGGTCTAGGATGGGCTTCTGGAAGGTTGCTCGGACCAGCAGCATCCATGGAAAACATGGAGGGAAAGTAGATACTCCGGTGTACCCTCTGCAGCTACAGATGAGAAACATCCCTCACCTCCTTTTAAACAGCGTGACACTCACTCTTTCCTGGTTCATCCCAGTCACACATGCAGCGGACAGCATAGGGCAGCTGGGGGTAGACCAGCACCCTGTGTGGTTGGCTGTTGGGGGCAGTCGTGGTAGACCAAATGCCTCACATGGTGAGTAGCCAGGGTAGACCAGCACCCCTTTGTTGGCAGCAGTTGGAGCAGTTGATACAGATACTACCCCATGTTGCATGGTCGGGGTGGATAAGCGCTCTGTGTTGTGTGTGGCCAGGTGCACCAGCACCCTGTGTTGTGAGCAGTCAAGGAAGACCAGCATCCCTTGTTGTGAGCAGGTGACATGCCTTCCACCGTTAGTAAGAAGGGAGCCTGCATTTATGGTCTGGTCCGCCCAGCCCATGTCCCCTCTTCTTCTCTTGCCTTTTGCTTTCTGATGGCCTCCTCCTATAAGGAGGGTGCTGAGGTCTACTGTCCATTGGTCATCACGGGGAGCAGGCTGGGAGTGTGGGGCTGGGGGCAGCAAATGGATCAAGGGCGTGAGTCTTCCTGGCTGTGGCCTGTCACTGTCCCTCCCAGCTCTTCCCAGAGAGGTGCCGGCTCCCTTGGGAAGTGGCTGCACCCTGCACGGGCAGACTGCTCCTCCAGGCTCTGGGGCTCCCTGCCCAGCACGGCACCTTCTGCACTGGGGGAGGGGCTGTGTGCTTGGCTCAGAGCACATCTTCCCTGTTGGGCCCACTTTGGCTGGGAAGGGAGTAGAGGAGGCAGGAGTGATCCACTGAGCTGGTGTCGGAGAAGTTGAAGGATTTGTTTTTCTTTAACCCAGAACCCCGTGCTGTGCTGATTTTCACTTCAGCTGTGAGTGACTTGGAAGTGGCCCCGGAATGTATTACTTGACACCCACGTTTGTCAGCAGGTGGGGCCACCTGGCTAAGACCCTCACCTTTCTGGATGGTATTTAGAGTAGGAATGTGGTTTCCTGTTAGTTGGAAGGAGCACGTACATCTCGGGCCTGACGGGATTCTGCCCATGTTGATGTATGTTCTGTGAGCGGGGTGGAGGGAGTGGGGTCAGGAACTCCTCACCCAGGCCTGTGATGGCTCCACGAGGTCGCTTCCCTATTCTCCGTGTCCTCACCTGCCGTTGGCTAGTGATGCTGTTGAGACAGGGCACAGTGTGTGGGCAGATGGGGCCTGGGCCACCCAGTTAGTCCCAGCCTGGGACTGCTTCAGTGACTCACAACATGGTCTGCTTGTCTACCCCAGCAGCCACAACATGGGGCACATGTCTGCCCCAGCCGCCACAATTGCGATAGCACCTGATGTTAGCCTACCCCGACTGTCTCATATTTTATTATCAGCTCTTTCTGGAACAATTGGCTTGTGGCCAGGAAACCAGCTGACAGTGTGTGAGGGTGTGTGGAGAGCCCCTTCACTCTGCCCAATCTGTTCTTGTCTGGTTCTAGAATATCCTGGGGGAGCATGGCCGTCCCTTGGTCTCTCCCCAGGGCTGGCTTTAGGGATGTGGAGATGAGGATGGTGTCATTGGTGTAGATGCTAGGAGGCATGGGACACTGAGCAAAGAAGGCCTTTGCCATCCACCTTCCTCACTCCCTGCACAGCTGCCCCTGCCCCATGCCCTGCACATGGAGCACACACTTTGTCATACAGGAACACCATCCCAGGTACCACTCCACTGCCTTCAAAGGATTGGAGGGCATCACTTTTTTTAAAAAAATGTTTTATTTTTGGTGAAAATGTGTGAAGCAAAACCTACTGCCATTCCCATTTCTAGATGTCCTGATAGTGACGTTGGTCACGTTCTTCACACTGTGGCACCATTCTCGTCATTGCTGTTCTGTTGTTTGACTCCCATTGACTTAAACTCCCTTGAAGGTTGTCACCTTTGCTGTCATCAGAGGCACAGGGACCACCCAGCTGAATTTGAGGGACCAGAGCACTGGACTCTGCATGTTTCTCACCCTGGAGCTGTGGGCACCGGCACCCTGAGACCTGGCCATGCGTCTGGAGGGCCCTGGCTGTGTCCTGCCCTGAGGCACCCACTCTCTGTTTAGAGGAGGCCCTGCTGTGCTGTCCCTGCCTGACCTGAATCTCTGTGTTCTAGGCTTCTTTCCCGGGAGCTCCCAGGGCTGTGACGCCTTCCTGCGCCACAAGATGACCCTTATCTCGCCCATCATCCTCAAGAAATATGGCATCCCCTTCAGCCGGGTACGTATGGGCCTTGCACAAGCCTCCGCTCCCCCCCAGGGCAAAAGTGCCCCGGGCAATTGGCATCTCAATTCTGGAGAAAGTTCTAGAACAAGGCCAAGCCAAGGAAGGGTCCTGTTGCCTCAGCAGTTAGTCTCCAACTCTTCCATGGGAAGGAAGGGCTGTGGAGAGAGAGGGAGGAGTTATAATCGGGTGGGGTCTTGGTTTTCCATCTCCCTCATCTCCCCCCTCACCCAGTGTGGCCAGCAGGGCTGCCCCTCCTTAGGGCCCCACAGTGGGTGGAGTGGGTTTGGGTTGAGGTGTGGCTGTGTGTGGGCAGATGGGCTCTTTCTCCCCCAGAGAGGCTTCGAGCATCTGAGAGCGGTCGCCCCAGCAGCGGCAGCTCAGATGGGGCAGCCACACTCCCCTGCGTGCCTGGGCCCTGTGGCGGCTGGGCCATGTTGGTCAGCAGAGCCTCCTACTGAGCTGCTGGCCTTGGACGCGCTCTGGTCCCTCAGCAGTTCTGGGCTCGAGACATGCTCCTTTTCAAGCAGCTTGAGAACCCTCTCTGAATTCCTTCCTGGAAGCTGTGGAAACATCATGGGGAGGACCCCTGGCTTTTGTAAGTGGTCACCTGGGGCCCTGGGCCTGAGGCCCTTGGGGCTGGCTGGGGCTGTGCCACTTCTACACAGCCTCCGTCAGCATTCTCAGAGAGAGCAGACACCTGCTGAGAAATGAGGCATTGGCTCCGCTGCTGCATGAAGACCGTGAACTTACTCAGTTTCTTGCTCCAAAAGACTGCTCTGCTGTCCTAGCAGAGGGCCATGATGGATGACATCTGGTTTTCAGACTCACTCATCGACTGTCGCTGCAGCTGGGCAGTGGCGGGGCAGGGCTGGGCGGGGAAGGGCTGGGCAGGGCAGGGCTGGGCTGGGCATGGGCCTTGGCCCTTGGCCCTTGTCTCTGCCCTGCAGTACAGCCCCTGGAACTAGATGGATAAGCTCCAGTGCTGGGATTCTCTCCCTGAGGGAATGGGGGCGCATCTGGTTCCAGGGACATAGCATTCAGGTGACCTTAGACATTTGTCCGCTCTGGGCACCTCCTGCCCCACAGGGCTAGGGCCCTCCAGAAGGATGAGTGGACCAGGGGCCCCAGGAGGGAGCCATCCTCAGACTGCATCACAGAGAGCCCTCCTGGGAGCTGGTCTTGAAGGTTTCCCAGAAGGGCAATTTGTCAGCCACGGGAGTGAGCGCTGTGATCAGATCCCCCGCTCCTCACTCTCTGAGAGTGTCAGCCAGTTGGAAATTGCTTCTGACATTTCAATCAAACCGCCTGCAGCATTGGCGGCGGCGGCATGGGGATGCAGTCCTCTGTCTGGGCCCGAGACCAGGCCACTCCTCACCAAGTTCATGTGCTGTCAGCAGGTGCTCGGCTCTGAGGTACCAGTTCCTGCCGCCCCTTCTCTGTCTCCTGGTCTGAACAGTGTTCCTTTGTTACTGGGACAGGGCAGTAGACCCACGTTGCTCATGCAAGAGGGCAGAGCTTCCTTTCTGGGCAGTTTACTGAGAACTTTCTAGAATGCTGGTTTCTGGTTTGGGATGCTTGTGGAAGGCATGGTGGGTGCCCTCCTTCCTTCCAGATCATTGGCAATTTGGACCTTAGCCAAAGGCAGCTCACTTCCTGCCGCTGAGGGGCTGTGGGCATGAGAAAGGTTGCCTTGCAGCAGCACTCAGATGGGGGCCCTGTGGTGACCAGGCAGTGGTTTCTTCCCAGTGCTGGGGAAGAGGAGTGGGCCGGGCCGTTGGCTGGCAGAGCCTCCCCTTAGCCTGTGGCCTCAGACACACACTGGCGCTCCACAGCTCTGGGTACACAAAGAACGTCCTCTTGGAGCACCTCGTGGGTCCGTCATCTGAATTCCTGGCAGCCTTCAAACGAGTGACTCCCCACACTCCACTTATAAATCTCTGTAATGGTATTTACTTCTCAGAGAAAAAGCAGATCAATAGCCGAGCTTTTTAATAATTAAAAGTGTGTATTTCTGTAATCTGCCATTGACTTCCCCATTTATTCTGCAAGTGCTTCCCGAAGGAACTGCGTCCCAGGCTCTCCCCTGACTGGCGTGTGGGGCCGACGCTCCCTCGGTACTGATTACCCAGCTGTGCAGCCTATCCATCATCCCCGGCGCTTTCTAATTTATTGTCAGGATAATGTTGACAGTGGTGACATGGAGGACAGACACTGTGGACTGGTGATGAAGACACCAGGATGTAGATTTCCTGACAGGAACATAATCTTCCTGTCGTCCTGACTGAGTACATCTTCTGTCCTGGCCTTGATTTACAGACGGGGGTCGTGCAAGGTGAACTGGGCCCTGATGTCCGCCCACCTCCTGGGCCGGTCAGCGTCTTGAGTGGAAGTGGCCTCTGCACCTCTAGAGTTTCAAATTTGGCATCATGGACACCCTGGTGCCCTGTGAGAAGGCTCTGAGGCCTGGTTGTGCCGAGCACAAGCTGGTGTCTGTGGGTGGCGCCATCTCAGTTTGCTTCCAGGCCCATTCTCCACCCGACACAGGCACGTGGACCTGAGCCCTGGGCAGAGGTGCCACTTGGCACTAGAAGACAAACTAAACATAGGTTCTTGGGGCAGCTAGGGCAGGATGAGAGCCAGTGAATCCTTGGGCCTCCGTTTTATTTGCCGCCTGTTTCACGAAGCTCCAGGTCCTGCAGGCAGACATCAGCCCAGAGTTTCCTCGCCGGTAGCATGGTGACCTTGGCCTCAGGTGCCAGGCTGGGCAGCGGCAGCAGCCAGGGGCCTTTCAGACCCTCCCCACCTCCAATCCCACTATGAGCTTCGTTCTGCCACACGAAGTTGTCACTTGGAAATGAATTTAAAAACATAATGCACACTGACTCTCTTTGATTGGTGCAATTAATTATTTGAAAAGAAAAAATATCTTGGTGTTCTTAAGGACTGGCTTGTCTCCAAGCTGTGTCAATTTTGATTGATTTTTTGATTTTGCAGCAGGCTTCCTGAAGCCCCACTCCCCTAGCTGCTGCCACCCTCCCTCCCCCCCCAGCCAGGGTGTTAATTCTTGTTGGTTACTTACATGAATCCAGCCATTTCTGCTCATCTCTCTGGGGGCAGTAAATACAGATGAGCAGGCCAAGAACTCCTATAAATCAACAGTAAAAAGATGAACAACCCAATAAATACAGCTAAGAGACTGGAGCAGCACTTGACAGAAGGAAATATATACATGGAGCAACATGAGATGGTGTTGAGCATCTGTAGATGCCACGGAAACACAAGGAGAGCCCCTGGGAGGCACCACTGTACACCCATGGGAATGGCTAAAGTCAACACCACCACCACCAAGTGCTGACGAGGGGGCAGAGCAACGGGAACTGGCATTCATGGCTAATGGTGTAGCCATCACACAGTGTCTTCGAGAGTTTACCCTCTACTTGCCCTGTGATGCAGCAGGACCACTTCTAGGTATATTTCCTCAAGGGAAACGAAGACATACGTCCACAAAGAGATTAAATTGGAAAAGGTGTGCAACAGGGTTGTATCTTTTCACTTCATATGTTCAGTCTGTATGCTGAATGCATAATCCATAAAGTTGGCATCAGGATTGGAGGAAGACTCATGAACAGCCTGCAATATGCAGATGGCACAATCTTGCTTTCCAGAAATGAAGAGGACTTGAAGCACTCAACTGACGAAAGTAAAAAACTACAGCCTTCATCATGGCTTATGCCTGAATACGAAGAAGAAAACATCCTCACCAATAAACAGCATCTTGATAAGTGGAGAAGAAATTGAAGTTGTCAGTGTTTTTGTTTTTCTTGGAACCACAATCAGTGCTCATGGAAGCAGCAGACAAGAAATCAAACGATGCATTGCACTGGGCAAATCTGCAAAGGACCTCTTTAAAGTTCTAAAAAGCAAAGATGTCGCTATGAGAACTAAGGTGCATCTGATCCAAGCCATGGTGTTTTCAGTCACCTCATATGCATGTGTAACCTAAACAAGGGACACAGAAGAACTGACATATTTGAATTGCACTGGTTAAAAATAATATACCATGGACTGCTAGAAGAATGAACAGATCTGTCTTAGAAGTGATGCAGGCAGAATGTTTCTTAGAAGCCATGATGGCAAGGCTTTGACTCACTTACCTTGGACATGTCATTAAGAAAGACCAGTTGTTGGAAAAGTCCATCATAGTTGGCAAAGCGTAGGGTCAGTGAAAACGAGAGCGATGGCCCATGAGGTGGATCGACACAGCAGCTGCACCGGTGGGCTGAAGCATCCGATGAGCCTGAAGATGGTGCTGGAATGGGCACCGTTTTGTTCTCTTCTTCATGAGGTGCTTGACTCAAGGGCATCTAAGAACAACAACAAAAAGATTTCTACACAAATGTTCACAGCTGCTTTATTCATGAAGGCCTAAAACTGGGAGCATCCCAACGACAGAAGAATGGTAAGTACATAGGATGGACCCATATGATCAATGTCCCCAAAGAGATATCCCAGTCTTCACCCCTGGTACCTGTGAACGTACCCTTGTTTGGAAATGGGATTGCCAAATTGTGGATGGGATCAAGTGAATAAGTTAGGGTGGACCCCAATCCAATGATCAGTATCCTAAGAAGAGATACAGAGACAGGCACAGGATACAGCCACAAGCCAAGTAATGCACAAGACTGGACTGCCAGCCACCACTGAAGCTGGAAGAGGCTGGGAAGGACCCTCCCCTAGAGTCTTCAGAGTGAGCCTGGCCGTGCTGATGCTTTGATGTCAAACCCCTGGCCTCCAGGACTATGAGACAGCACATTTCTGTGGCTTTAAGCCACCCAATTTGTTGTACTTTGCTGCGGCATCCCTAGGGAGCCAATACAATGGGATACTGGTTAGCAATGGAAGGGAATGAGCTACCAGTGGACACAGTCCGTGACGGACAAGTCTCAGAGCCACTGTGCCAAGTGAAGGAAGCCAGATACAAGACGACACACACTGGACGAGCGCATGCATATGAAGCTCTAGGTAGAATTGGAATCTGGAAAGCACCAGGAAGCACATGGTGGTTGAGGGTGGGAGAGCCACCTGACTGAGGGGTGGGGGCACTGTCCAGGGTGCTGAACACAGGCCGCTCCAGGTTCAGCTGCAGGTTACGTGGGTGTATCATATGCTGAGAACTCACTGACCCGAACAATACCCAGGACCTTGTGTTTTACATCCTATTAAAGGAAGGAAAAGAGGAACCTGCTAAACTATTGCCGAGAGCATTTTAAACCTTTAACCAAAAACTCTGCTTAAGTCTATTTTCAGCCAAACAGTGGTTCCACTTAGTATTTACTATGTTTTACTATTATTAATCTGCTGTGAGCACTGTGCTCTTTTTAGAGCTATTTTCATGGGATCAAATTGACGTTTGTAACTCGAAGGGTTAGATGGGCAGCTTAGAGGGCAGTGAGTTCATGTTCATGGGGGAGGAACACCTCAGAAAAGAAGGGTGAGAATGGTGGCACTGCTCAGTCTGTCCTCGGTGTCACTGAGCTGTACGTGCAGAAAATGTTGAATGGGGCTATGTTTAACTATGTGTTTTCAACAACAAGCACCCACCTGACTTCAGAGGGGGTCCCTGCTGCCTCATGAGCCTCGGTTTCCACGTCTGTGAGTTGGGTCCCAGCCCCGCTCAGGAGGCAGCTACGGAAGGAGAGATCTCCCAGAGTCCCAAGTCCTGGCCAGCATGTGGGGTGGCTGCTGTGCTCTTGTCGTCAGCTTTTCTGAACTGCTGCCTTTTGAATTGTTTTCCTTTTTACTGATGGGTTGATTGGTTTAATTTACTGATGGACCAGCTGTTGGTGGTAGCGTCAGGAGCTGCTCATTGTGGGCACCTCCGGTGTCCTTTCCTGGAGGGAGAAGGGTTCCAGGGAAGGCGGCTGCATTCCCAACACTGATGGGCAGCCCCCGACTTTGCCTGTAGCCTGGGGGGCTGTTCCAGGAAGCCTTGGATCTGGTGACTTGGAGGGGTCCCCCAGGCTGTTACCTCTAGCTTCTTGGTTTTGGGGTTAGTTTCCAATACCCGATCAGAGTCTGGTCATCCAGACTACTTTCAGCTGGATCTGGAAGCATTAATGCATTCTGTAAAGTTCCCATTGGTGATGTCACGTCCTCCCAACATGGTGCTGTCTCCTGGCCCCCATCTGGAGGGGCCCACTGCTCAGGCTGTAATTGGCAGATTCTGTCCTCGGGTTGGTGAAGTGCCTTACAGCATCCTTCATGAGTGTTCTGTGCCTGCAGCTGGCTGTATCTCTCCCACAAGGTAGACACCCCACTGTACCCATGCCCATCCTGCTCCTTGGAGGGCTCCACAGCTGCTGCCAGCATCACCCCCTTCCCACTCCCCAGCTGTCTCCAGACACCTCACTGTGGACAGGAGGCACAGCAAAGCGACCTCTGAAGCAGAAGACCCCCACCACTGCAAACGCTGTGCACGATAAACACCTGGAGTTGTGGAACACAGTGGTGTCTGTGGAATGCTGAGTGTGTTTGTCATCTCGAGGTCAGGTGACAGGCTGGCCGGCCCCCAGTGTGCTTGAGTGTGCAGTCGTGCTGGTAGCAGAGCCACTGGCCTATGCTGCTGGCCACACCTCTTCCAGAAGCTGCATGGGAAACAGGCTGCAGCCGGGGAGTTCTGCTCGGCCACCTTGTGTCCAAAACTCCACAGGCTGGTGAAGGCCAGGCACCTCTGTGCTCACTCACGGTTCCCAGCCCCCTAGGCCCAGCCCAGCCCTGGCCTGACAAACTGCTCCCAGTCTCCAGGTCATGCAGTGACTTTGTCTGTTCACACCGTGGGTCTCACCCCTCACCTGCTAACCTCTCTCCCCAGATCACGCAGGAGGCCGGGGAGTTCATGATCACGTTTCCTTATGGCTACCACGCCGGATTCAACCACGGATTCAACTGTGCAGAATCCACCAATTTTGCCACCCTTCGGTGGATCGATTATGGCAAAGTGGCCACTCAGGTAAGTGCCTGTGGGCTCTGCGTGGAGGTGAACTCCTGCCGCAGCCAGGTGTGCTGCTGGCAGCTGCTCCTTGCTGTTTCTGGAACCCTCTGATAGTTTGTTACTGGACACCCATTGCCCTGAGGAGGTTAAGTGGATGTTTGGCTGCCCTGAGGAGGTTGGGTGGACGTGCGGCCATCCCAGGGCCAGTCTCCTGCATATTCCACTTCCCAGCGGCCCCGGATTAGCCAGGCTGCACTCTGTCTCAGGGGTGGGGAGTCCACTGCGCCATCCTCCTCCCCTAACCCCATAGGCACAGTCTGGACTTTGACTCCTGAAGAGGGCGTTGACCCTTTGTAGTCGAACTCACTGCTGAGCACCACCCATCCCACAATGGCTGCCGGCTGCCTTCTCCGTCCGTGCCTGGTCTGGACTTTTCTGTAGGAAGTACAGCTGGACAGGCAGGCAGGTCTTCTACCATTTGCCCCTGGGGCTTCCTATTGATGTGGTACTCCCCCCACCACCACCGAGGCCTTGAAAGGCAGGAAGACTCTAATTTTCCCTAATTATTCATCTTCCATAGGGTTGCTGTGAGTGGGGGTTGACTCTGTGACAGTGAATTTGTTTTTTGCTATTCGTCATCCTTTGTCTCAGAGGGCCTGTGATGAGCTCCAGGGCAGCCATCTCATGAGTCTTACCCTCTCAGCCCTGTGCCACTGTCTGTCTGCGTGGGTTCTCTTAGCTCTCCAGTACTCTGTCCACATGGAGTTTGGCGACAGTTGGAGGGTGCGTGAGGCCATGTGACAGAATACACTGAGCGTGTCTGCCCTCACCTTGTGCATCTCTGCCTCATGCTTGCTCATGGTGGCCTTGGAGGGCCAGGTGATAGGGACGTAAACAGAGCTATGAGCTCTGAGCCCCCCAGCAAGGGGGACTGTAAAAGAACTTGGAGGTAAAGGGGTTCCCAGGGAGGTGGTGGGCCCAGGCCTTCCTCTCATACGGTCAGAGGCTGGCATCAGGTGCTCATCCTGGCTGCCCCAGAGGGGATGGTGAACACCTCCCACTTGGCATGGGGCCAGCCCATGGCCCAGAGTTTGGGTGGACAGCCTGGTCCACCAAGCCCCGTTTTCTCCACTGCACGGCAGTACCACTTGCTCACTCTCTGTGCCTTATTCTGCTTCTGGGCCCCGGGGCCCCAGGACCCAGCCAGGCTGTACCGCCCCACAGATTGGAAGCCAGGCACTGCTGCCCAGCCTTCCAAGGTAGAGCTTCAGGCTTCTTTGAGAAGTCACTTCTGGGTCAGGGTGAAGGAAGGGGCGAGCTGTGGTTTTGTAGCCAGGTCCGAGGGGCAAGATGAGAGGAGACACATTGGGCCTAGATCCATCTGTTCAGCGTTTTCCAGACTTCAGTCCTGTGCAAAAGGGGGGTTGCCAGAGCGCCACCCAGTATGGCAGCTGCTGGGCACGTGCATCTGCCATGGCCTTGGAATGTGGCTGAAAAACCTGATGTGCCGTGAGCGGAGAAGGACTCCCTGGGTGGCTGAGATGGGGAACGTACTCAGCTGCTGAGAGTCTCGGGTTCACGTCCACACTGGCACCCTGCGAGAAGGAAAGTCCTGGTGATACACTTCTGAAAAACAAGTCCTAGAAAACCCCATGGGCGCAGCTCTGTCTGATAGACACGGGGCGACCATGAGGCAGCGTCAGCCCCCAGCAGCTGGTCTGCTTTGGTTTGGGTGAGTGTAAAATGCTTATCAGATTTTGAAGACAGAGAGCGTAGCAGAGAACGTGCCCATCTCAGGGACGGTGTGTGTCTGTGGCTCGCAGTGATGGCAGCTTTTTAACATGGTGTGTACCGTCCTTGGTGGGCTCTTGGTTAGGACTCTGCGCTCGCTCTAATGTTCTGTTGTTAGGTGCCGTCGAGTTGATTCCGACTCATAGGGACCCTAGGGTAGAACTGGCCCACAGGCTTTCCTAGGCTGCAGTCTTTACAGGAGCCGATCACTAGGCCTTTCTCCACAGAGTGGCTGGTGGGTTCGAAGTGCCAGCCAAACACTTCACCATCGCTCCACCAGGGCTCCTTCACTTTCTGACGTTGGCTGGGGTATAAATACAATAGGTCGGTAAGCACGCCCCACCTGGTTCTCTTCACTCTTTGGAGCATGACTGCTGTGAGATCCCAATGACATAGTGGCCTGCATTTTACTTCTGCTGCACAGCACTGGCCTGGACAACCTGGCCGCCTTTATTCCTGATTTGCCAATTTCACCATTGCGGTGCGGTTAGAAAGGAGATGGGCTTTGTGGCAAGGGAGCCCTAGAAGCTTCTGGGGATTTTAAAACATTGGGCTTTTCCACTGAATTTAGAAAACGATGGTAGAGCTTAACCTTCTGGAGACTCTCGGGTCTGCCCAAGGAGGAAAGTCACTAAAGGTCAGCTTTTCCCATTTTTTAAAGCCACGAACCAGCTGCCACAGAGGTAATGCAGACCCACGGTGCCCCATGTATATGAGAGTGGACCTGTGCCCCCAGGGCTGTCTGAGTCTCCACTGTAACATACACACCACATGTGGGCAGCTTTCATGAATACATTTAGTCAGGAGGCAGGAAGTCCGCATTTGGGGCTCGGGCTCTAGGGGAAGGCTCGCTCTTTGCCAGCTCTGGGGGAGGGTCCTGGCCTCTTCCAGCCTCTGTTCCTTGGTTGGAGAGCTTGACACTCAGCCTCCCCCGTCTGTGCTTCTGTGCCTAAGCTACTTCTGTTACACCCCAGGGTGATTGGTTTAGGATACACCTTACACTGATACGGCCTCCTGAACACGACAGAGACACCCTATTCCCAGATGGGATGACATCCACATGCATAGGAGTCAGGAGTGACAACACATATGTTTGAGAGACACAGTTCAACCCCTAGCATTGTGTCCGGTAACTGATTTTTCCAGAAGTAGATCATCAGGCCTTATTTTCGCTGTACCTCTAAGTGGACTTGAACCTCCAGCCTTTAGGTTAGCAGTCGAGCACTGAACCGTTTGCAGGGACTTTTGAGCTAAAGGAGTAATTAAACATCTCAGGCTGTGGCCTTTGGAAGGTGTATGCTTTTTGTTTGTTTGCATGACTGGGGGGCCACATTGGATGGGAGGATTGGAGCAGAGTGAATCCATGAATTCAGTGGCATTCCTCATCTGCATCGTGGCCCAAGTTCATGTTTAAGTCCAAGTCCACACTGTGGATTGAGATGTGACTTGGGGCCAGGGCCTGTCCTTGGGGTGCTGTCAGAGCTGATGCTGCTGGGCCAGCAGGGACTGCCCAGATATTGAAAGCAATTTTGGGCTCAGCCATGTGTTCACAAACAAGTGACATTGGGGAAGTGCAGCCTGAGATTGGGCCTCCACGCTTACATTGTTAAGCGGCGTAGCGTGAAATTACTGAACAAGTGGCGTGCAGCGCTTTGAGCAAGCCAGGGGTTCAAGGCGGGCGTCCAAGCATTGGGCAGCCTCTGTGGGCCAGGCTGGCCGGAGGCAGGGGACTTTAGCCAGTGAGTCACCTTTGGCTACGAGGTACCCGTGGCAGTCAGAACACCGCCTGTCTGGCTTTTTGATGGTGAACTGGGGCAGCCAGTTAGTTGCCCTCATGACTAGGCCAGGCTGCGGGGGCTATGAGTGCATCTTGCCTTCTCCATAATAGCACTGGGGTAGGCAGCCCGAGGGAGGCAGGGAATCTCTCAAAATGAGCTGGTCCTTGGCTTCTCCAGTCCTGCTGCTTGATCCTTCCTTCCCACTGAGCACAGCCTCTCTCCTTCCTGCCCATAGGAGCTCTGTCTGGCCCCCACTCGTGCTGTTTTCCTTGTGGCATTCACTAGAGGGTCACGGGGGAGCCATGTCTCCATTTCCTAGGCCTTTGTCATTGTTAGGTGCCATCAGGTCGGCTCCTGCTCATGGCGACCCTGTGGACAGCAGAAGGAAGCACTGCCCAGTCCTTCAGGATCCTTGGTCTGCTCGGATCAGTGGTTGCTGCCACTGTGTATTTTGAGTGCCTTCCAGTCTAGGGGCTCAGCTTCCAGCACTGTGTCAGACAGTGTTCTGTTGTGATTCATAAGGTTTTTACTGGTTAATTTTCAGTAATAGATTGCCAGGCCTTTCTGCCTGTCTTAGTATGGAAGCTCCGCTGAAACATGTCCACTAGGGGTGAGACCCTGCTGGTATTTGAATCCCAGTGGCCTAGCTTCCAGCATCACAGCTACATGCAAGTTACCACAGGACAACACACTGACAGGTAGTGGTCCTAGACCTTAGGGACTTAAAAGAAAATCATCTTTAGACTTCCAGGAATCCCCTCCTCATCCCAGTGTCTCTCTCTTGTCATTTTACCTCAGTGTTCAGGAGTCAAGAACTTCAAAGCCAAACTCTTACATCTGGCTGCTCAATGTGAATTTCAGGCGTCTGCGTATTTTTTTCTTTTGGCACAAGGGCCAGCAAACTACTGCCTGTGGGCCACCTCTGGCAGGCTGCCTGCTTCCCTGTGGTCTGCAAACTAAGAATGAGGTGGACATTTTTAAAGGACTGGACAAATAGATAAATAAATCCAAAGAAAAATATATGACTTGTGAAAATGGTAATGAAACTCACATTTAAAAATAAAGCCAAAAAACCAAACTCACTGCCATCGAGTCAATTCTAGCTCATAGCGACCCCTTTTGGGTTTTTGAGGCAGTAAATTTTTACAAAAGTAGATTGCCCAGTCTTCCTTCTGAGGAGTGGCTGGGGGGTGTGAACTGCCAGTCTTCTGGTTAGCAGTCAGATGTCTTAGGCACTACGCCACCAGAGATCCTTGAAACTCACATTTGTTGTTGTTGTTAAGTGCCGTCGAGTCGTTTCCGACTCATAGCGACCCCGTGCACAGCAGAACGAAACACTGCACGATCCCGCGCCAGCCCCACAATCCTTGCTATACTTGATCCCATCATCGCAGCCACCGTATCAATCCATCTCGTTGAAGGCCTCCCCCTCTTTAGTCGACCCTCCAC